TACGGCATGTCTTCTCTGGAGTATACCTGTTCTGTGAGTCTGTTGTGTGTATGTGTTTGTGAAAAAATGATCAGTTAAACAATGTGTACAAATGGCTGTAAAACAGTTTTTTTAACCCTCCAGTTGTTTCAAAGTTAGACCTTTTACAGGACAATAAGACACATGGTAATTTAGGATGCTTGATATAGTTTATTAAATATTGCATAATACCGAAATATCAATAATAATATCACAGCAGTAAATAGTGTTGTCTTCATTTTAATATTGACATTGTAACAGCACCGCAAAAAATAAGCAAACAAACAAAACCTGTTGCAGGTTGTGCGTCTCGGCAAACTAAAGAACACATACTTACGATGATTAATCATTTATTTCAAGCGTTGTGTCACACTTTAGTCTAGATACTGGTCCAGTAGCTATCATGTTCTTCAGTACATGTCTTCACCCATTACAAATACTACAAAACAATGGGGACAACAATAGTAATATCCTTAAATATGACATATGGATACATTTCTGTGATAATCAATAAAAGCGAATGAAAATGAGGCATTATGATCCTCACAAAATGGCAGCGTAACGTTACTTCATGTGCATCAAACTGTCTGTGCTCAATAACTCTTCACTCTGTGCTTTGCCAAAAAAAATCCTTCTGGAACAACTGAGAGAGCTTCATGTGACTTTTCCCATCACTTGCATTCCATACGTCTTTATTATACATATTTACAATCCTTATTGTGCCAGGCTGTTTAATGTTTTAAATGTTAATTCAAGCTGAAAGCACTGATCCTTGTTACATAATGAGTGTATACAGTACTCCACAATCATACATTCAAAAATTTGATGGAGCACATTATCCCATCAACATTCTACACTGACTTGTGAGGCTACGATATGATACGAAAGAGAGAGTGCTTGTTGCCAAAGTCTATCATACAGTCAGTTTGACATGGAACAGACCTTTCCTTATTAAATTGTCTCTGGACCTTATTCTGTAAGCTTTGCTTTGACTTTGGATGTCATTGTCTCTGTGTTGGAGATAATAATAGCTATAGCGCAAGTGCTAGCATGGTGGAAACCACAGAATTAAATAGAACACATTGTGTTATACTGTATCTCTATGGGGTAAACAGCTCACAGCTGAGTCACAATACAACCACTCGGATTATCCTTCAGAAACAAGTTATGGAAGTTATGTACAGCAAACCAATGGGATAAACACTGACATTTACAAACACATGAATGGCCATACAGTAGAACACCTCATCTATGTTCTCCTAGTGCCGCAAAATACTTCTTGATAGTCATATGAATGATGCAGAGACAAACTCAGCAACTTAGTACAATGTAACTGGTTTCGTTAAAATAACTGTCACACAAGACTATATTCTCATCAATGTTGGCAGTTGGCTGTTAACGAGCTAGGGGAAAACAATGATGTTGAATGTTTGGGTGTTGTATTGTCTCATGTCAATGACAAACACTGTAACAGCTTGACAGAATGAAGCTGTCTATTCCTTTCAAGTACAACTGACAGATGAGTGAACAGGCAGAACTGTACTTAAATATCTCACAAGGTAACATCATAGGTGGCAGCCACTAAAGCCTTAATGCTCAAATCAGTTTTGTATGTCAAATCCGTTTTTTGGAATACTGACTGTCCAAACAGCAGGTTACAAGTGACCAAATTGGATTTGTGTGTGTTCAGGCAGCAGTAATTTGCTGACATGGCTATGCTAGTTGTCATAGTAACGACGGTGTGTGCGCAGTGGTGTAGGCTGATTGGTGGTGGTGCTCATGCTTCATATCACTCAGAAGTTATGTAGCATGCTAAGGTGACAACAATTCCTGCCATGGACGTTTCCCAGTTGCTTTGAATGTTCATAATCAGAGTTTAAGAACACTTTTAAAGCCTCAAAGGATAAGATGATCCAACTTTCAAAACGAATTATTTTTGGCTCGCCACAGTAGTCAACTAGCTAGCTAGGTAGCTGTTTAGCTTTCTAGCATATTCAGTAATTTGTTTGTAAACAATTAAAAAGCTAGTTAGTTACCACATATTCTTGTCAAACTGTCAACAGAGTAGCTAGCAAGCAACAAGATATCCCAAATTACAGTCTAAAAACTGCAAATAAATCAGATTTGACCATTAAGACACAAGTCACATGGCCAGGAATTAGAAGGTGGTTTGAAATGTGGCTTGAAATATCAGATTCCATGTGGTTTTTGGCTGTACAGACTGCAGGAAAAAGAACAGATTCGAATCGGATATGCAAATAAATAGGATTTGAGTCAATTCAAACTGCCAATGTGAACACGGCTTTAATAGCTCCCAACCATGTCACAATCTGGTCAACGCTAATCATCACAGCACTACTGTAGCTAACCTCATCAAGTGGAGAAATTAAGATATTTAACATATAAGTCATCATCATCAGCATCATCACTTCATGAACTAGATTAAGTATTACTATAAAGGTAATAATACTAGTTAGATGTTGATAGTCTTATGACAGATATACTTTTTTGTCTTAGAAACACATTTAAATTCTATTGCCTAGTGAACCCAGACTGCTGTCACTCATGACATTGAGGATTCCTCTGAAGAACACATAGCAGTGAGTCATAAGGAGGAAGAATTTGATGTGAACAAAGTAAGAAAGAAAGTAGAGCTGCCACAACATAAGGCATCCTTTTTTCAATCTGCCAAGTTTTCAGGATATATTCTGACATATGGTGCCTGTTACCAGCGTAGTGATCTGATGTAGCTCTCAGATTGAGGACCTCTGTCCTCACAGGAAGACTGCTTCGATGCTTTGATATCCGAATTCAAAGCAATCTTCACTGAGGGAGCAATCCAGTTCAAAGATAATGAGTAATGTTTTTCTGGTTGCACCTGCTGGCCTCAAAATAATAATGGCATTGATACAGTTTAATGCTCTTAAATAGTTTAACACTTTCAGATGAATGGTACATGCTACACTGAGGCTACACATGTAGCCTACTGTGTATAAAAGGCCTCTGTATCCAACCATTTTGGGATATATAATTTGTCAAATGTAAAAAGTAAAATGCTCACAAATTAAAATCAAACAAAGAGTTAACTTTCATGAAAAATATGAAATTGATTTTACAAGTTACATTTACATTTTAATCATTTAGCAGACACTCTTATCCAGAGCGACTTAAAGTTAGTGCATTCATCTTAAGATTGCTAGGTGGGTCAACCACATATCACAGTCATAGTAAGTACATTTTTCCTCAGTAAAGTAGCTAAATTATTAGCAAAGTCAGAGATAGTAAGGGGGAAAAAAAGTAAAGTGCGAGTGTTAGTTCACGAAAGGCTTTTTTAAACTTCAAATGAATTAGTATACAATTAGTGTGAGGAGAAAGCCCAAAAATGACCACGGGGCGGAAGTTAAGTGCTTTAAAAAGAGTGGCATACCACGCCTGTCCTGTGGTTCCACTGGAGCCAGTATAGCATAGGCAGCTGACTGCCACCAGCTACCTCACAGGAATCACAGAAGATCAGACAGCTAATGTTACTTCTAATTTTCAGGGACAGATATGCTGTACAAGATGACAGAAAATTATTTTTGATAAGAGATGATGTTCCTATACTGTGTGACGCACAGGCAAAATATGCTTGCTTGCTTGTACGTACACTCCTTCATACACATGCATGATCTGTCTTAATCAGGTACGTACATAGCACAGCCAGTCTTCCTGATTGGATGAATCACTTCAACTGACAGAAAGCTTAGCTAATATTAGCTAACGTGTTTGAGCATTTCTGGATTTCTATCATGCACATGAACATGCTCAAATTATAGTACAAACCTTGGATAAACAGAGGCAATACTAAAATGGCATTGGAAGCTTTGGAACTACACTGAGGTAAGAATGTTCTGCTATTTTATGAAGACTACAAGCCTACATTGACTACATTGTCACAAACATAGCTTTATAGTTTTCAGTGCATTCTGAGCTAACAAAACCAAGCCATTCCAAGATGATTCACAATATAGCAGGCCTACAAATTCACTGTCAGGTCAATGGGTTTTCGAAATTCAAATCAAGGAATATGGTCTGTTGGACACTGTCCAAGTATGTGTCATCACATACAGCCTGATACCTCCATGGTATGTCTAACCAAACACTACTAGTTACTGGGTTTTCCTAGGAAAAACATTAGTCTTCTAGACGACTTAGCAAGTCATGTCAACCTTCCAATGTATGTATCTGCTTTCAAAGTTAATGAAAAATGCTTTCGCCAAAAAAGGTCCTGAAAAGTAGCTGATGAATAACAGCTTCTATTTCTCTAGCTCATCAACAACAACACATTTGAGCCCTCCTGATCCATCATGGAAGTTATAAGATCCACTCTCTTGATCCATGAACTGCTCTGCTGCTGACCCCCATATACTGTAGATATACATTCATGTTCTTCAAAAATACTTTGTATAGTAGTTAACAATCACAATGACACACCGCAGCTACTATATATACACGGTACAAGAATACAGACTGAGTGTACAAAACATTAAGAACACCTTCCTAATATTGAGTCGGGCATGTTGAAAGCATTCCACAGGGATGCAGGTCCATATTGACTCCAATGCTTCCCACAGTTGTGTCAAGTTGGCTGGATGTCCTTTGGGTGGTGGACCATTCTTGAAACACACAGGAAACAGATTGAGCATTAAAATTCCCAGCAGTGTTGCAGTTCTTGACACAAACCGGTGCACCTGGCACCTACTACCATACCCTGTTCAAAGGCACTTAAATCTTTTGTCTTGCCCATTCACTCTCTGAATGGCACACATACACAATCCATGTCTCAATTGTCTCAAGGATAAAAAAATCCTTCTTTAACCTGTCTCCTCCCCTTCATCTACACTGATTGAAGTGGATTTAACAAGTGACATCAATAAGGGATCATAGCTGTCACCTGGATTCACCTGGTCAGTCTATGTCATGGAAAAATCTGGTGTTCATAATGTTTTGTACACTCAGTGTATACCGTAGTCTGTATGTGCTGACATTTTGGGAGGATGTTTTCAAACTAAAAGTTCCATTGTCAGAATATGATATGATAAATTCAGCCATGTACTGTGTAGGATGTGGTTGGAGTACGTATACACAACACTGACGTTTGGGCAGTGAGTCAACAGCTAGCTTCCTTCTGTCTTCGCCTCATGAACATTAACATACCTCACACCAAACAGATCACTTACCCCAGACAAACGTATTCACCTGGCTGAATGACTATCCTAATTTAAACAATCAAGCGCAATAGTAATGCTTTCCCAAAACTCGAATTGTAACCAAGGGTTAGAGCTGGGTTCTCCTCACACTATAAATGTTTGTTGACAGGTTACAAGTTGACCTCTTTCACGTAATTTCCTGGAAACGTGCCAAACTGTTTGGTCCTCTTCGAGGTACCTGAGAATGAAAAACAACAACAACAATATTTGTTATTCTTTGCAATCAAATGTGCCTACTCAGGCAGAACAAATGTACGTTTTGAACTCTATGTGTTTGAACCTCTGTGAGAATTTCTGAGAAACTACCGACATGGAAGTTTAACCCTCTGCTATGGATGGATGTGACATACTGTGACACAGTGATTATGACTATATCTTCGGGCAATCTATCCTGAGGCCCCAGGCACATACCAACAAACCAGCCGTCATCGCACTTCTCCATTACGCTGACAAGATCTCCCTCCTGCAGCTCTAGCTCATCCTCATTCTGTGGCACGTAACTGTACAAAGCCTGGAAACTGTAGGATAACACTACATAAGTCAGAAATACAACCATAAAAGGACTTGAGAGACATAATATCAAAAACGATATAAGAGATGTATTTACCAGACCAGGGCCGTGTTCATTAGGCACCAAACGGATTGAAACCAACTGAAACAGGGAGGGACTACTGGGACTTATCCAATAATAAAACGCTCATTTTCGTTTTCCGTTGCAAAGCTTTCAAAACCTTTTTCTGTTGCGTGCCCTAATGAACATGACTCTTGAACTGGGGCTCTGAATCCTTTAGACAGAGTATAACAGTATAACAGTATAACAGTGTATCTAGAGCTCAGACTAGACGTAGGGACAGACGTCAGACGGCCATACTCACATTCCACAGCTGAGACGACTCGGCTCCGGGCTGCTGCTGTGGGACTGGGGTTGCTGGGAAATGATGAGAGATTGTTTACTGGGGTGAAGGTGGGGCAGGAGTCTGTGAAGGACAGAGTCATGGGGGTGGGGGGAGAGGGTGCTGCAGTACCTCACTGAGGTCTCAGCTATATTCATGATCTCATTACAAACCGCCTCCTAGTGACGGTGGTCAGGTCAGAGGTCAGAGGGAGCATTCCCAGAATTTCCACAGAATTCCCAGTCAGCCCAGAAGGAGAGGAGAGATTAAGGAGTTGGGGAGAGGGGCGGGGCAGGGATTTAGAGGACGTAAAGGAAGAAGGAAGGTAGGAGGTCCGGTGAGTAGCAAGGCAGAAAGGGAGGGGTCCGTTAGAAACCAGGAAAAACCAGGAAAGCCGTGAAACACCAGAAGAGATGGTGGTGGAGTCCGGCAAAGGGGTACGCATGGAAGAGCAAAACACTAGAGTGAGTGGCATGTAGAATGTACACAGTCACAATGAAATATTAGTGAACATCTGATACTATTCAAAAGAAGACATGCACAATCAATGGAGAGGAAAAGATGGCAGCAAGGTCATGCAAGAATGCTGTCATATTAATCTTATTGACAATCTTATTGACGGAAGCTGAGTGATGAGGTTTAGGATAAATGATTAGTTAAGTGATGATGTTAAGTTCAATTCATATTTTGACATTGATGAGTTAAACGAAGCGATCATCATAGATCAGGAAAAATGAATCCCCACCACATATTTCTAATCCAGAAACAACAAACACATACATTTTCTAATAGTATCGTCGCCCACAACATGCAAATCAGCACCTTACCGCAAATGAGTTAGCATTCATGTTGTTGTCCTGGATGTCAAACAACATGATAGGGCTTCCGGAGGTTCTTCCATGGTAGACACTCTCATTCTTCACCAGCTGTAAGAGGAACAACACACACATTACACTCAGTAGGATCGCAAATCGGAGTTCATGTCTACAGGATGCAATTCATTTTCAACAGTGTGTGCTGTAAACACAATTGCAGTGGAAGTCAATTCACACTCTTGGTTAGACATACACTATGTATACAAAAGTATGTGGACACCCCTTCAAATTAGTGGATTCGGCTATTTCAGCCACACCTGTTGCTGACAGGTGTATAAAATCGAACACATAGCCATGCAATCTCCATAGCTTAACATTCACAGTATAATTGCCTTACTGAAGAGCTCAGTGACTTTCAATGTGGCACCGTCATAGGATGCCACCTTTCCAACAAGTCAGTTCGTCAAATTTCTGCCCTGCTAGAGCTGCCCCGGTCAACTGTAAGTGCTGTTATTGTGAAGTGGAAACGTCTAGGAGCAACAATGGCTCAGGCGCGAAGTGGTAGGCCACACAAACTCACAGAACGGGACCGTCGAGTGCTGAAGCGCGTAGAGGGTAAAAATTGACTGTCCTCGGTTGCAGCACTCACTACTGAGTTCCAAACTGCCTCTGGAAGCAACGTCAGCACAATAACTGTTCATCAGGCTCTTCATGAAATGGGTTTCCATCGCTGAGCAGCTGCACACATTCCTAAGATCACCAGGTGCAATGCCAAGCGTCAGCTGGAGTGGTGTAAAGCTCGCCGCCATTGGACTCTGGAGCAATGGAAAAGCATTCTTTGGAGTGCTGAAACATGCTTCACCATCTGGCAGTCCGACGGACAAATCAGGGTTTGGCGGATGCCAGGAGAACGCTACCTGCCCGAATGCATAGTGCCAACTGTAAAGTTTGGTGTTGGAGGAATAATGGTCTGGGGCTGTTTTTCATGGTTTGGGCTAGGCCCCTTAGTTCCAGTCAAGGGAAATCTTAATGCTACAGCATACAATGACATTCTAGATGATTCTGTGCTTCCAACTTTGTGCCAACAGTTTGGGGAAGGCCCTTTCCTGTTTCAATATGACAATGCACAAAGCGAGGTCCATACAGAAATGGTTTGTCGAGATCGGTGTGGAAGAACTTGACTGGCCAGCACAGAGCCCTGACCTCAACCCCATCGAACACCTTTGGGATGAATTGGAATGCTGACTGCGAGCCAGGCCTAATCGCCCAACATCAGTGCCCGACCTCACTAATGCTCTTGTGGCTGAATGGAAGCAAGTCCCCGCAGCAATGTTCCAACATCTAGTGGAAAGCCTTCCCAGAAGAGTGGAGGCTGTTATAGCAGCAAAGGGGGGACCAACTCCATAGTAATGCCCATGATTTTGGAATGAGATGTTCAATGAGGTGTCCACATACTTTTGGTCATGTAGTGTATCTCTCGAACAAAAGTAATTTTCTATTACAAAAAACAATCACAACATTTATATGTTCTATAAAAACATTCATAAACTTATTTCAGATTGTTCCCAAAACAATCTTGATCCTCAAATAGTAATCAAATTGGCTCCTCTATGACAATATTTTACAACATCCCACTGGGTACACACTGGTTGAATCAATGTAGTTTCCACGTCATTTCAATGAACGTGGAATAGACGTTGAATTGATGTCTGTGCCCAGTGGGATGACGCTATATTGGTGGGGGTCAAGAATCTGCAACCACTCTCTGAATCATTCAACACATTTTAAAAATACAAATCATGCACAGTCACATGGTTTTCATTCCAAACACCTGAGGAGATACATTTTCATTTGAAAACTTAATTTACCACTCAAACATGTACATGTGAGTAGTGCACACAAAAAAAAACATGCAGACCAAAATATGACACAGGAGTTGTGTAAGCTCTGCTGACTGCATTGGAGGAGGGTCAACTTTAGGTCAACATCACAGTTAGTCATCATTCACTATCTATTGCACAATTATCTATCTAGAGGCAGCAACAACGGAAACATCCTATTATTGTGGTTCATGGAGGTAAGAACTCCAGTTCCAGCCACAGTGAGCCCGAGATGCAACACCGCACACCATGCAGTAGGCCAGATACCTCTGCAGGCCAATTTCGCCAGCTGCCCAGGGCTTCGCGTCCAGTGCTCCTGTCTCTCTCTGCCCCCTCCCCCTCCATCAAATCCCTCTCCAGGATGCGCAAGGGGCTGGCCCCAGTCAGCCAGCTCTCCAGGCCCACCCCCCCACAGGGGCTCAGGCTGCGGGACAGACGAGGAGAGGGAGGGGAGAGCAGGAAGTCCTCCCCCTGGGGCGGGGTGAAGGTGAGGTAAGGGGTGGCTGAGCCAGGGCGGGGCGGGTAGAGCGGGGGCAGGGGGGAGGCGGAAGGGGAGGCCATTGGGGAGATGCAGTAGGGGCTGCCGCAGATGGGGGGCACGGGGCTGGCGGACATGGAAGGGGGCAGGTACTCGCCCCAGCAGTAAGACACGGAAGGGAGTGGGGGTAGAGGAGGGGTTGGGGCAGCGGGGGGGCCGGCACCCCCTATGGTCAGGGAGATCCACTCAGAGGAGATGGCATGGACCTCGGGGGACACAGAGCGGCGGGGGGAACGGGGGAGGGGCAGGGGGGACGTGATGAGCCGGTTGTTACGGACACGGTTCAGCTTATAGACCAAAATGACCATCCAGCGAGAGAGAGAGGGGAGGACGAGGGACAGAAATGGAACATTAGACATGAGTATGAATGAACACAAATAATAAAGTTAAAAAAAAATGGAATAGCACAACACCAAAGTCAACTAGAAAAACAGAGACAAACTTGGAGAGTATGGGATTGTTGTATTCCTGGACAGACTGAGCTCTACAAGAGAGAGTGTGTGTGAGGAGTTTGTGTGAGGAGTTTGTCATTACCTGAGGGGAAGCATTGAGGCTGCGGTGAGGTGATTGGCCAATGGGTGGGTCTGGATAATCCAATCCATTCTTGACTCTGGGTCGTTTGTGCACCTCTATGTAGGTGACGGGGAAGATACCCTGGCGATTGGTGCCGGAGACCTTGCCCTCATACCAGTTCTCATCGACCCTGCGAATTAGGGTGATCCTCTCTCCCTGTAGACACATTGGTATCACGTTAGCTCATATGATCGCACATTTAGACGCATAGCATAGAATAACATAACACCAAGCACAAACTAAACACCGGCACACACAACATTTCAGTTAAACATACTGTATTTCCTGTATCATAACACTATGATGTAACTATGATGTAATACTTTGCGATTTCCATTTGTATTACGCAAAAAGAGGAACAAATGTTACAACTGCTCCTAAACTCAATATCCTTAAAACCCTGTTCTTCTTTTTACCTTTCTAAATGACATCTCCACCACTGTGTCCCCTGTGAAGTTGAAGCGTGCTATGGCCTCTCCATACTCCAGCACCTGCACTGGGGCACTCTTCTTTGGCTGGGCTTTCTCCGTGGGGGGAAGGAGCTAGGGAAAACATAAAGCCCAAAATACATCAGTCAATGTCAATGCTAGGAACAAGTGTCAAGTTTAGGAAGGTATCAGTTAAAGTCAATGAAAGGTACCAGTGTCACATTCAAGAGGGCACACTGTAGTAAAACGTTTTGTGACATGAAACAAATATTTGTGTTTTTAATGGACATGTTCAGGTAGCATCTCCCTGTTTCACTCTGTTTCAGAACAGTTTCTTCTTACTGAACACGACCCCAGTGAATATCATTACTGGGACTCATACATGGTTGAACTTCTGAACTGACTGGTGTCATAACGCTGATTAACTGACTGGTGTCATAACCCTGATGAACTGACTGGTGTCAGTAAAAAAGTCACACAGTAAAATACTACTTGAGTAAAAGTCTTAAGTATCAAAAGTAAACATAATTGCTAAAACATACTTAAGTATCGAAAGTAAAAGTAAAAGTATACAGTGAGGGAAAAAAGTATTTGATCCCCTGCTGATTTTGTTCGTTTGCCCACTGACAAAGAAATTATCAGTCTATAATTTTAATGGTAGGTTTATTTGAACAGTGAGAGACAGAATAACAACAAAAAAATCCAGAAAAACGCATGTCAAAAATGTTATAAATTGATTTGCATTTTAATGAGGGAAATAAGTATTTGACCCCCTCTCAATCAGAAAGATTTCTGGCTCCCAGGTGTCTTTAATACAGGTAACGAGCTGAGATTAGGAGCACACTTAAAGGGAGTGCTCCTAATCTCAGTTTGTTACCTGTATAAAAGACACCTGTCCACAGAAGCAATCAATCAATCAGATTCCAAACTCTCCACCATGGCCAAGACCAAAGAGCTTTTCCAAGGATGTCAGGGACAAGTTTGTAGACCTACACAAGGCTGGAATGGGCTACAAGACCATCGCCAAGCAGCTTGGTGAGAAGGTGACAACAGTTGGTGCGATTATTCGCAAATGGAAGAAACACAAAAGAACTGTCAATTTCCCTCGGCCTGGGGCTCCATGCAAGATCTCACCTCGTGGAGTTGCAATGATCATGAGAACGGTGAGGAATCAGCCCAGAACTACACGGGAGGATCTTGTCAATGATCTCAAGGCAGCTGGGACCATAGTCACCAAGAAACCAATTGGTAACACACTACGCCGTGAAGAACTGAAATCCTGCAGCGCCTGCAAGGTCCCCCTGCTCAATAAAGCACATATACAGGCCCGTCTGAAGTTTGCCAATGAACATCTGAATGATTCAGAGGAGAACTGGGTGAAAGTGTTGTGGTCAGATGAGACCAAAATGGAGCTCTTTGGCATCAACTCAACTCGCCGTGTTTGGAGGAGGAGGAATGCTGCCTATGACCCCAAGAACACCATCCCCACCGTCAAACATGAAGGTGGAAACATTATGCTTTGGGGGTGTTTTTCTGCTAAGGGGACAGGACAACTTCACCGCATCAAAGGGACAATGGACGGGGCCATGTACCGTCAAATATAGGGTGAGAACCTTCCCTCAGCCAGGGCATTGAAAATGGGTCGTGGATGGGTATTCCAGCATGACAATGACCCAAAACACACAGCCAAGGCAACAAAGGAGTGGCTCAAGAAGAAGCACATTAAGGTCCTGGAGTGGCCTAGCCAGTCTCCAGACCTTAATCCCATAGAAAATCTGTGGAGGGAGCTGAAGGTTCGAGTTGCCAAACGTCAGCCTCGGAACCTTAATGACTTGGAGAAGATCTGCAAAGAGGAGTGGGACAAAATCCATCCTGAGATGTGTGCAAACCTGGTGGCCAACTACAAGAAACATCTGACCTCTGTGATTGCCAACAAGGGTTTTGCCACCAAGTACTAAGTCATGTTTTGCAGAGGAGTCAAATACTAATTTCCCTCATTAAAATGCAAATCAATTTATAACATTTTAGACTTTTTTTGTGTGGATTTTTTTGTTGTTATTCTGTCTCTCACTGTTCAAATAAACCTACCATTAAAATGATTTATTTGTCAGTGGGCCAACGTACAAAATCAGCAGGGGATCAAATACTTTTTTCCTTCACTGTACATAATTTCAAATTCCTTATATTAAGCAAACCAGACGGCACGATTTTCTTGTTTTTTTTTTAAATTTACGGATAGCCAGGAGCAAACTCCAACACTCAGACATAATATACAAATGTGTTTAGTGAGTCCGCCAGATAAGAGGCAGTAGGGATGACCAGGGATGTTCTCTTGATACAGTGCCTTGCAAAAGTATTAATCTCCCTTGGCGTTTTTCCTATTTTGTTGCATTACCACCTGTAATTTAAATGGATTTTTATTTGGATTTCATGTAATAGACATACACAAAATAGTCCAAATTGGTGAAGTGAAATGAAAAAAATTACTTGTTTCAAAACATTCTAAAAAATAAATAACGGAAAAGTGGTGCGTGCATATGTATTCACCCCCTTTGCTATGAATCCCCTAAATAAGATCTGGTGCAACCAATTACCTTCAGAAGTCACATATTTAGTTAAATAAAGTCCACCTGTGTGCAATCTAAGTGTCACATGATCTGTCACATGATCTCAGTATATATACACCTGTTCTGAAAGGCCCCAGAGTCTGCAACACCACTAAGCAAGGGGCTCCACCAAGCAAGCGGCACCATGAAGACCAAGGAGCGCTCCAAACAGGTCAGGGACAAAAGTTGTGGAGAAGTACTGATCAGGGTTGGGTTATAAAAAAATATCCAAAACTTTGAACATCCCACGGAGCACCATTAAATCCATTATTAAAAAATGGAAAGAATATGGCACCACAACAAACCTGCCAAGAGAGGGCCGCCCACCAAAACTCACGGACCAGGCAAGGAGTGCATTAATCAGAGAGGCAACAAAGAGACCAAAGATAACCCTGAAGGAGCTGCAAAGCTCCACAGCGGAGATTGGAGTATCTGTCCATAGGACCACTTTAAGCCGTACACTCCACAGAGCTGGGCTTTACGGAAGAGAGGCCAGAAAAAAGCCATTGCTTAAAAAAAAAATAAGCAAACACGTTTGGTGTTCGCCAAAAGGCATGTGGGAGACTCCCCAAACATATGGAAGAATGGCGCCGAAGAAGATGGCTGCCGTTTAACAGCCCTCTAACCAATTGTACTATTATGTGTGTTTTTTCGCGTTATTTATAATTTATTCTGTACATAATGTTTCTGCCACCGTCTCTTACGACCAAAAAGAGCTTCTGGATATCAGGACAGCGATTACTCACCTCATATTGGATAAACATTTTTTCTTCAACAAGTCGGACGCGAAGGATATCCTACAGAAACACGACAAGGCCCAAATCCCTGTCATTCACATGAGAAAGAGACAGAGATATCGTGGACGTAGGTCGGGGTGCCTTGTAAGGATCCGACGGCGAGCAAGTAAACTGCCTCTTCCAACAATCCTATTAGCCAATGTTCAATCATTTGAAAATAAATTAGACGACCTAAGATTACGGTTATCCTACCAACGGAACATTAAAAACTGTAATATCTTATGTTTCACCGAGTTGTGGCTGAACGACGACATGGATAACATACAGCTGACTCCACACACAGAAATGCATACAAAGCTCTCCCTCACCCTCCATTTGGCAAATCTGACCATAAATCTATCCTCCTGATTCCTGCTTATAAGCAAAAACTAAAGCAGGAAGCACCAGTGACTAGGTTAATAAGGAAGTGGTCAGATGACGCAGATGCTAAGCTACAGGACTGTTTTGCTAGCACAGACTGGAATATGTTCCGGGATTCTTCAGATAGCATTGAGGAGTACACCACATCAGTCACTGGCTTCATCAATAAGTGCATCGATGACGTCGTCCCACAGTGACCGTACGTACATACCCCAACCAGAAACCATGGATTACAGGCAACATCCGCACTGAGCTAAAGGGTAGAGCTGCCGCTTTCAAGGAGCGGGACTCTAACCCGGACCCAGTATGAAAAATGTATGCACTCACTAACTGTAAGTCGCTCTGGATAATAGCATCTGCTAAATGACTCAAATGTACAATGTTTATAAGAAATCCCGCTATGCCCTCCGACGAACCATTAAACAGGCAAAGAGTCAATACAGGACTAAGATTGAATTGCACTACACCGGCTCTGATGCTCGTCGGATGTGGCAGGGCTTGAAAACGATTACAGACTACAAAGGGAAGCACAGCCGCAAGCTGCCCAGTGACACAAGCCTGCCAGATGAGCTAAATCACTTCTATGCTCGCTTCGAGGCAAGCAACACTGAAGCATGCATGAGAGCATCAGCTGTTCCGGATGACTATGTGATCAAGCTGTTCCCTGTTCCCAAGAACACTAAGATAACCTGCCATGAAGTGCTTTGAAAGGCTGGTCATGGCTCACATCAACACCATTATCCCAGAAACCCTAGACCCACTCCAATTTGCATACCGCCCCAACATATCCACAGATGATGCAATCTCTATTGCACTCCACACTGCCCTTTCCCACCTTGACAAGAGGAACACCTATGTGAGAATGCTATTCATTGACTAAGCTCAGCGTTCAACACCATAGTGCCCTCAAAGCTCATCACTAAGCTAAGGACCCTGGGACTAAACACCTCCCTCTGCAACTGGATCCTGGAATTCCTGACAGGCCGCCCCCTGGTGGTAAGGGTAGGTAACAACACATCTGCCACGCTGATCCTAAACCCAGGGGCCCCTCAGGGGTGCGTGCTCAGTCCCTTCCTGTCCTCCCTGTTCACCCATGACTGCATGGCCAGGCACGACTCCAACACCATCATTAAGTTTCCCGACAACACAACAGTGGTAGGCCTGATCACCGACAATGATGAGAGAGCCTATAGGGAGGAGGTCAGAGACCTGGCCGTGTGGTGGCAGGATAATTACCTCTTCCTCAACGTGATGAAGACAAAGGAGATTATCGTCGACTACGGGAAAAAAAAGAGGACTGAGCACGCCCCCATTCTCATCTACGGGCTGTAATGGAACAGGTTGAGAGCTTCAAGTTCCTTGGTGTCCACATCACCAACAAACTATCATGGTCCAAACACACCAAGACAGTCGTGAAGAGGGCATGACAAAGCCTATTCCCCCTCAGAAGACTAAAAAGATTTGGCATGGGTCCTCAGATCCTCAAAAAGTTATACAGCTGCACCATCCTGACTGGTTGCATCACCGCCTGGTATGGCAACTGCTCGGCCTCCGACCGCAATGCACTACAGAGGGTAGTGCGTACGGCCCAGTACATCACTGGGGCCAAGCTTCCTGCCATCCAGGACCTCTATACCAGACGGTGTCAGAGGAAGGCCCTAAAAATGATCAAAGACTCCAGCCACCCTAGTTATAGACTGTTCTCTCTGCTACCGCACGGCAAGTGGTAACGGAGCGCCAACTCTAGGTCCAAAAGGCTTCTTAACAGCTTCTACCCCCAAGCCATAAGACTCAGCTAATCATGGCTACCCGGACTATTTGCATTGCCCCCCCACCCCACCCCACCCCAACCCCCTCTTTTAGGCTGCTGCTACTCTGTTTATTATTTATGCATAGTCACTTTAACTCTACCCACATGTACATACTACCTCAATTACCTCGACTAACAGGTGCCCCCGCACATTGACTCTGTACCGGTACCCCCTGTATATAACCCTCTATATAACCTTACTGCTGCTCTTTAATTATTTGCTATTTTAATTTTTTTGGTTAAGGGCTTGTAAGTAAGCATTTCACTCTAATGTCTACACCTGTTGTATTCGGCACATGTGTCAAATCAAATTTGATTTGATTTGATTTGAAGGTGCTCTGGTCAGATGAGACTAAAATTGAGCTTTTTGGCCATCAAGGAAAACGCTATGTCTGGCGCAAACCCAACACCTCTCATCACCCCAAGAACACCATCCCCACAGTGAAGCATGGTGGTGGCAGCATCATGCTGTGGGGATGTTTTTCATCGGCAGGGACTGGGAAACTGGTCAGAATTGAAGGAATGATGGATGGCGCTAAATACAGGGAAATTCTTGAGGGAAACCTGTTTCAGTCTTCCAGAGATTTGAGACTGGGACGGAGGTTCACCTTCCAGCAGGACAATGACCCTAAGCATAATGCTAAAGCAACACTTGAGTGGTTTAAGGGGAAACATTTAAATGTCTTGGACGTCAAAGCCCAGACCTCAATCCAATTAAGAATCTGTGGTATGACTTAAAGATTGCTGTACACCAGCAGAACCCATCCAACTTGAAGGAGCTGGAGCTGTTTTGCCTTGAAGAATGGGCAAAAATCCCAGTGGCTAGATGTGCCAAGCGTATAGAGACATACCCCAAGACACTTGCAGCTGTAATTGCTGCAAAAGGTGGCTCTACAAAGTATTGACTTTGGGGGGTGGGGGGGGGGGGGTGAATAGTTATGCATGCTCATGCTTTTTTTGTCTTATTTCTTGTTTGTTTCACAATAAAAAATATTTTGCATCTTCAAAGTGGTAGGCATGTTGTGTAAATCAAATTATACAAACCCCCAAAAAATCCATTTTAATTCCAGGTTGTAAGGCAACAAAATAGGAAAAATTCCAAGGTGGGGTGAATACTTTCGCAAGCCACTGTAAGTGCGTGAATTTTACAATTTTCTTGTCCTGCTAAGCATAAAAAATGTAACGAATACTTTTGGGTGTCAGGGAAATGTATGGAGTAAAAAGTACATTATTTTCTTTAGGAATGTAGTGGAGTAAAAGTAAAAGTTGTCAGAAATATAAATAGTAAAGTAAAGTACAGATACCCCCAAAAAGCAAGTATTTTTACTTAAGTACTTTACAACACTGGTCTGTACCGTACTGTAGTGAGTTCCATCTAGTAAGAAAAGGTCAGAGTTCATTTGGAGTCAAAATACAGGAAGTGGTTGTACCTCAACATAACTCCGTGGGAAGATGCCGACTCTGCCGTGATGTTCCCCTTCGAACCAATTATTATCCACCTGTCGAATGATGTACACAATGTCTCCCTTTTGAAATGGTAACTCCCTGAAAAAAAGTACAACAACAAACATAGGTTAGCTATTGGATTCAACAATATGCACTCATGTCAAAATGCATAACGTCAAAGGCATATGAGCAATATGACAAAGTATGGCAGAAATATGACCACATATCAACCACGTTCAATATTTCACTCAAAGACTCAGAATGACGTCTCCCCATGTATAAATTGCTATGTGAGAGTGGAGTTTCATCTAAACCACCATCAGTCACACAAATGGTACATAGGCCTCCATGTTACAGTCACATGATGATTACAACACACCAGGGTTTATATTTCACTGCAGATTAAAGTATTTTGTGCATGCTCTTGAAATCACTCATGGTATGTGTGCCAATGGGTTTTACCCACTTTAGAGTTTCCGCTCTGAAGTCAAACCGAGCCAGGGCTGGAGTTCTCTGTAAACAAACAAAGCAAGGACTGTTAGAAAATAAGCATGGATAAAGGAGCCTGGACTCCAATGCCCTGTGACATGTACGGAACGTTGGTTATTCAGTTCAGGCTGGCCTTGCATGCTAGGTTGCAGACTATCTTCTGGTTTATGTTCACAGTCAATTATACCCTCATAGTTATACCCTGTAATAAGACATTGTTGATTCATACAAGTAGAGGCACATAAAAAAAAATATATCACTTGTACATGTCAGTTGCAATATAAATGTGTTTTCTTTTCCACAGCATATAATGCACTGCAAATTAACACTAACTTTGTCATTATATGCTTCCAAAATCGAATAAAAACATAAACAAATATAATCCATAGTACTAATTTGTACCGGTTACGTATAATGGTAATTAGTTAAAATGCATAAATGTTTTTGAGTGCTTAATTTAATCTCTGAGCTCATCTGGTTGTTAGTTGTGCCCTTTCAGTGTCCCTGATCCACTGAGAATATTCTAGAAATGACATGAATGAAATAGCTCTTGTGACTGTGTTTCTGTCCGGTGGTAAATACTGGGCTACTGTGGGCTACAGTCAAAGAGCAGGCAGACCGATTAAAACGTACTAAATGTGTGCCAGGGAATACAGAGTAAAAAGCAGGTTTATCATGATGATAATATATGTTTGGCAGATCTATTTAGCTGGTCACTGAAAATAGAGTAGTGTATGGTATTGTAGCCAGGTATGTTGAAATGGTAAATCACCGAAACATAACGGGGGAGGGAACAAAAGTGTGTTGTGATAACAAGTTGTGCTAGCCTATGTGGGTAGTCGGACGGTTGCGGATGGGTTATTAGCATTTGCGGGTGGGTGCGGGTGAACAAACAGCTGTCCCACGCGCCATTAACGCGCACACACACACACACACACACACACACACACACACACACACACACACACACACACACACACACACACACACACACACACACACACACACACACACACACACACACACACACACACACACACACACACACACACCACCAAAATAGCTGTCAATTTGCACAATGAGAGGGATGGTACTGTACTGTACCTCTGATCCGGATTTTCTCTTGTCTGCGTCATTGATGTTGACGTTGAGCAGGTCTCCGAAGCGTTCGTTAGTGATGAACTGGTGGTGGGTGGGAACGATTCCCGTGTGTCGCCTCGATGCTGTGTCAGCCTCCTCCTGTTCCCTCTTCAGCCGCCGCTGCTCTTCCAAGACTTTCTGTCAGGGAAACATTCCATAATCTGCTAGTAAATTTTTTTGTATTTCACTTGTTTTTGCATGCCACATTAATAGTTCTGAGGACCACAGACATTTTCATATTGTTAAAATATTTCACAGTTTTAGTGTACACTGAGAAGTTTTTAGTGATATTTCTTGTTCAAAAAGAGAGTGAAGCCCTATCAGGTTTTGTTGAGAGAGGACTAGAAACAAAACATTGCAGAAATGATAAAAAACTATAAAGAAACATTACCTCTTTGTCTCCATGGCGTCTCCTGACCACCTCATCCTGGCCGTCACCAAGGTCTCCTTGGGTCAAAGCCTGGGACGAGTCTGAATCTAATACGAAAAATACATGAATTATGTCCTGAAAATCTCACAAGGGATTCAACATTTTCACATAACAGCATTTATCAATAATGCTGCTCTCAATATCTATAATATCTATATATATTTTTTTAAATAGCCCTAACAGCATTGCAATACCACAATTCCAATAGATGTATAAAGCATATTTTGACAAAGCAAGGGAATTTGTAACACTGCACCATATAGAACTAGTTATGCTCCAAAGAAAAGGTGTCATTTGCAGTATGATAAAGGAAAAATACACACCCCCCCCAAAAAAATAATGAAAAAACATACACTGAGTGTACAAAAACATTAAGAATACCTGCTCTTTCCATGACATAGACTGACCAGGTGAATCCAGGTGAAAGCTATCATCCCTTATTGATGTCACTTGTTAAATCCACTTCAATCAGTGTCGATGAAGTGTAGGAGTTAAAGAAGGATTTTCAAGCCTTGAGACAATTGAAACATTGATTGTGTATGTGTGCCATTCAGAGGGTGAATGGAGAAGACAAAAGGGGCCTTTGAGCAGGGTATGGTAGTAGGTGCCAGGCGCATCGGTTTGTGTCAAGAACTGCAACGCTGCTGGGTCAGTTTCCCGTGTACATTAAGAATGGTCCACCACCCAAAGGACATCCAGCCAACTTAACACAACTGTGGGAAGCATTGGAGTCAATATTGGCCAGCATCCCTGTGGAACGCTTTCGACACCTTGTAGAGTCCATGCCCTGACGAATTGAGGCTGTTCTGAAGGCAAAGGGGGAGGGGGGGGATTGTTACCAACCCAATATTAGGAAGGTGGTCTTAATGTTTTGTCCACTCAGTGTATATTCCCACATGCACAAAACAATAAACACAGTAACACACTATGACTCAGCTTTAGGGTGCTGTTTATGAAAAAAGGCAGAAAAAGAGGTTGACGGCTATAGAGGAAACAAATACTGTACAAAACATTCAGATGAAATAAAGTAATGTGACTATGATATGGTTGATGTACAATGTAAATGCATATCACCCATCACCAATGAGTAATATAATTTCCACACTGACATGACTGACTGTTTAATGCTTCATCCCAGTCACTAACTGTACTACATTACTCATCTTGCTTCCCACCCAGCCATTAGCAATAGACATTTCACCATGCCTCCAAGCAAGCACCATAATAAACCCCTATTACTCCCAACCTCTGTGTGTTTTATCACACGGAATATATACAGGAAATGCCAATATCAGCTATAAAGAAACAAGAGGGAAGCACATAGTCTCTAATTGAAATAGCAGTCCTATCAGAATGACAGAATGGAGGATGACAGATGAATGGAGGACGCACATTTGTTTACCTCAAAGCTGACAAAACCCAAATCCACAAAGCCTTTAAAAAAATGCATGGTAATACATTACTTGAGGGTGTATATAGTATGCAATGCCATAACAATAGCCTACACCAACATTGCATGGCATTTTACATGAAGTTCAATATATTTTAATCAAAATTAAGGTGTCATGCAAAGTTACTCAGATGTTTTGTGATGGGTTGGTGGGAAAACAATTTCACCGGGCAAGAAAATGGAAATGGAAAAACCACCAAAACCAAAACACCAAAAACTGAAATGGAGAGGCTGCATTTTCACTTTGTCACACACCACACAGACTAAAAAGATGGAAGGTGGTAGCTTCACGTTGTGAAAAATACAGAGACAATGTGAGGAAGAAAAGTTTGGAGAATAAACAAAATGAGTGGCCATAGAGATCGGCATGGGTGTGTAGGAGAAGGGAGGCTGGAGGGTGACACTCTGGTGAAAGTATGGGGAGGAGATAGCCACCTCTGCGATGAGCTGCCAGCGGCTGCAGAAGATTCCCATTGGTGTCCAAGCCTCCACCATTAGTCAGGTTGTTGTCACTGTCGGACGGCCCACCCTCCCCGTTGCCAAGCCTCTCCAGCACCTCCAAGGAAGAGAGACGCTGTGGGATGAGGGGCCTGGGCTCATTAGAATGGGTCTGTGACCGTTGACCTGCCATCACCTTAGTGGCTGAGAAAGTCTTTTTGGCCCGGTGAGACTGGAGAGACCTCTTCACCCTGAATGGTGCAGGGCCCATGAGGAAGAGGTTAACGGGGAGAGAGGAGGAGTTCTTTCTTTTCTCCTGGGTGGACAGTTTGTCCTGCTGGGCCATGGCCTCCTGCTGCCTCTCATGCCGGCGGATGGTGGTGAACCGGGTGTAGGAGGCTGGGCAGGAGCTTTTGCACTTGCTGCTGGGTTTAAGGTGGTGGTGGTTGTGGAGGTGGTAGTTGTGTGGGGGAGCAGACGGAGTGACTGGTGCTGGGGGACTGTTTGAGGTTCTGGAGAAAGTGACCTCTGGGAGTTTCTCTTTTGGTACTGGGGCTTTGTCTGTGGAGCCGTGCTGCTCTGTCTCTACCTCAGTCCCAGAGAGAGACTCGGCTCGCAGGGTGTCACTGTACTCCGAGGATGCCACCTCCTCCACTATCTCACTGCCTGACAGAGAGGCCTCATCTTGGGCTGCCTTACCCTCCGTGTCCTCCAGAGGGCAGCCCTTTGTCTGCCCAGGGTGCCCAGGGTCAGTGACCAGCAGCAACTCAGCCGAGACGGCGGACGCCATGAAGAGGTTGGCGGGGCTGTGGTTAAGGGTGGGGCAAGTGGGTAGCGTTGGCATGGAGGAGGAGCGTGTGGGAGTCGGGCTGGAGCGCTGGATGATCAGCTCAAACGCCGAAACCCTTGACAACACGGCGTCCCGCCCGGGAATGTTCCCCCCTGCCTCGTCCCCCTCCCCATCAGCTTCATTGATCCCCACCTTTTCAAACAGGGAGGTCAGGCTACGGACACTACCGTGGGGGCTGGAGCCCACCGAGCAGGAAGGCCTCTGGATACTGTGCATGTTCCGGTACAGGGTGGAGAACTCTGCTGTGCTCCTTCTAGTTGCAGGGTTGCCATTTTGAAAACCAGTCTCAGAGTCAAGGGGGAGACCATTGGAGTTTGAGTCTGTGTTTGAGTGTAACCTGTTCTCCCGGGTCTCTGCTCCTGTGCTCCCTGTGTATATATCCTCACAGCTGTGTGCCTTTGGGTGCCTGGCAGGCACAGTCCTACTGTCCTGGCTGTCACCACTAGGGTGCATCAGCTTGGGTTTGAACTTAGAGGGGAGGATTTGGGGTATGCAGGCTTTGGCGGCAGATAAAGGCTTCTTATTCTTACACTGGTAACCTAGGGCATTACTGGCAAGAACTGATCTACTATTTACAGAAGAGCAGGGTGAAATTATATAGCCATTCCCACCTTGATAATCCACTGGCAAGCATGCAGAACAACAGAATAAACAGCATATTAGGTTACAATGGTTACAAATTCACACACACTGAAAAAAATACAGTCAACACATTTCTAAAGTTCCATCAAAAGTTGATGAGAGGGAGATAAAAACTTGATACATTTCACATCAAGTAACAAATGACTTTGCTATACTACAAATTACTTTGTTATGCAATTAGTAATGATACTTGTAAAACAAAGTAAAATGCTTTGTTTTTAGTGGAGCAATGAAAATGTTGATTTTGAATAGGCCTAGAAATGCATGTTTACAAATAACAAAGTGTGTAGTATTTTCATTGGACCTGATATGCTTTTCAATCCCATTTTTACATTTTTTACATTTTAGTCATTCATAATTAAATTAGTAGTGATCGTAAGCAGCAACATAAAAGAAATGAAACAACAGAAAGGGCAAAGAGCAGGGAAGTATGTCATGCATGAAATGCTATGTGATGTAATGTTGGTAAACTTGTTGTTCGAGTGAGACACTGGACTTCATTTTCTAATATTTGCCTCTTGAACCTCACAACAGAGAGCTAGCTTTGAAAATGTGCATTAAAAAAATGATGCCGTAAACAGTTCATACTGTAAGTGTTCATACGAAATACAAATGACTCTATAAGCTACTTGCCCATCTACGCACTACTTAACACACTACTTACGAAATAAGCCTCAGCATTGAGGAATTAACCCAAAAGCCCTTCCTTCTCAGGATACATTCTCAAATAAAACTGTAAAAACTAGAAGGTCATACAAGCCCCTGTGAGCCACTACACAATATAATATTCAGGAGGACACACCAGGTGTGACGAGTAGGCTATGGTTGACTCTCACCTAAGTAAGAGATGTGCTAGTAATGCCAAGTACTGTATGTTCTACCACAGTAAGGGATGACACATCACAGTAGGGAATGATGACACATAACTGCCACCAGCTGTCGTGAAAGCAACTCTACAGGGATGTAGCCTACAGCAGAACGCTCCAAATTCTAACTAGCATTATTCTTAGGAGTCTGTCATTTTGGCTCAGTCATATATGGCAAGAACTGCAATATCCTCAGTATCCTGTTTGAGCTCCACACACTGAATAAGTTGAATGCTAATGTTATTCCCATGAAGATGACATTATAAGGGGACGTTACAATCGTAGCCACTAGAACAGCCTGCAGGAAGCAACGTTTTGTGACAAACAAAGTGTTCCATTATTGTTTGAAAGAGCATGAAGCAGAACCACATGATGCAGCTTTTGCCTTCCAACTTTGGGTTGCTTCTTTGTCTCTGTCTGTACTTTATCTTGCTCTGTTGTACTGCAACTGAGTGTCCACAGCGCTAAGGTGGTGTGTCTCTGGTAAGCCATAATGAGAGAGCGTGCTAGTCAGTTGACTAAGTTTGCTCAAGATAACTCTGGGCGGAATTCCCTTTACAGCAGTTTCCACTATTTTATGGAAAAGGGACTTCAGTCAAGACTTTTATAGGATAGGGACTTGAACTTCAGTCAAGTCATCTGGTATCTTTGTTTCACAATACAGTAAGCCTACTGGCCATCTAAAATCATTCTGTAGAGAACAAATATGTCTTATTCATTGAGAAGCGCAGACAGCTCACGTAAAATAAGAATATAAAGAATACATTTGTGCATCTGGCAAAAACTCAAACAAACTCCAAATGGACTGGCGTAATGGTACATTCTCTTACTTTTAGACATTAGGACTGGGCCTTGCTTTGCCTGTTGGAATTCTTGACATGTTAAGTATTGGGGCAACATCACCTCGCGGTGCCCAATCTGTCCCTTCCTTTCTCGTCCCCTTCCCTCCTTTCCTCTACCTCTCCCCTGGTCATGTGCGCAGGAATTCCATCCTCTGACCTCCCTCTGACAGCTGACTTCCTCATTCCTGGCCACCCTGCTGTGTCCCTCTTGTTTATCTCACCCCTGTCTGGCCCAGCCGTGAAAACCAGACTACTGTTTATCTTCCCCTTTCCTCCCCATCTGTCCCCTCGCCTGGACCTTTGCTCCCTGACTTTAGAACACTCCGGAGCCCTGCCCCTAAGCCTCTCCAATGACCGCCTGGCCTGCAGAGGCAAATGACTGGAAGACGAGGGGAAAACCCAAGGTTAGTCTGATAGCCTTCATTCATTGATTTCGCAGGAAAACCTTCAACAGCCTAACTCTCAATTGATTTCCAAGCGGATATTATATGGACAGTTTGGTGAAAGATCCATGATATCAATAATAAATCAAATAAACATTTGAGAAAAAATAAATGCTGCAAGATGATTGGCCTCTGGTGTGGTAACCTGAAGCAAAATAATATGTGGATTCCAACACAAAGTTAAAAGGAAACACATGTATCCCTGACAGACACTTTTATGGTTCAACATCCTCATAAGTCATTTGGTTCTGTCTGAGTGGTAAAAACCCCTTTCAGTTCCCCTCTCTTTCCTGGCAGCATGTGTTGAGTGGTGGAATCCTACCTTTAGAGCAGGTGCTGGCATGGCGCTTGTTGAGGGCCCGCAGACCTTGCAGGGGAATATCACCGCCCTCCAGGACGTTCTTGTAAACATAGCGGTCGCATTCTGGAGCCGCTGGCTCGCTGCCAGACGATCCTTCGTCCTTCTCCACCTCGCTGTGTCTGGCCTTACACCCAGAGCTAGATAGGGGCGAGAAAAACAGGGAGTAAAGAGTGATTCAACCTAAAAAGCAGCTTTACTCAGAAAGCCTGATTAGAACTGGACTACATGTTTACACAACCAGCTACTGTAGCTAGAAGGGAGCATGCTTTAATACATGCCAGTGTTGGTAATTAAGTGCAGTCTAATTGAGTTAAAAATGTTGCATAAAATGCCTTTTTATGACTTATTTTGAACATTCTGTGGTTGATTCCTCGTTGATTCAGCCTTTTTGTTTACTTGTATTATGGGAACATGAGGAGTATAAAGATGCTTTCATATAAGCATGCCTGGAATTTGGACCTTGACGTAAAACACTCACTACTTGTGCTCACCACCCTTATCTTAGCATTCCACAGGGGCCAATTGGAGAGATTTCAAAACAATATTGTCTGAACGTTGCCACATGTTGCTCCTGCCTCTCTTCTACCATGCACCTGTACTTTTCTCAGGATTACTCTACTTCAGATGCCACTGTCTGAGGAGAGAATTTGACGCCTCCCTGTCTTTCTATTTGTGCTGCCATGCACGAGTGGAGGCCATTAAACTGACAACAATTTCCAGTAACGTAGTAAGTCATGTGGAAAAATAAAACAAAGCCTGGCAACAAAATTTTTCAGCATAGGGAATCGCTCCTCCGACAGTGTCTTTACAGGGTGACACAACAGTAGTCTAATTCCCATTGCCGGATGTTCTACTTTCCTGTGCTGTAAATTAACAATAAACAAACATTTGGAGACACAATAGACATACATTTGCGAGCAGAATTGAAGTGAAGTGAGGCGTGAGGAGAGTAACAGGTTTTCCCCAAATGAGTTAAGCTCTCTGACATGGTGCCTGATTACAGTTTATCAGGAAGAACCAAATGTTGGATTATACATGCCCCCTTCCTTGTTTATTCAACCCCCTTAACAAGAACCTCTTTCATAGTTCTCAGAAGAACCAACCATTTGGGATACTGCCTACATATTAAATAAAAAAACGTTACTTTATAGAGTACATGCAAATATTCAAATAAATACCCCTTAGCAGGCTACAGGGGCTGTATAACTCATTGGAACCAACATAACATCTGTTATACGACTGAAGATGTTCTTACCCAATATCATCTAACCAGCAGGCATCAAGCTCAGAGAGCTTGATTGTTGATGATGGATAAAATTGCAAGGCTAAAAATAGATTGATAGTAGCTGACCCTGTTTGTAAATGGTCATATTTTAAATATAAGCCTACAGCTGATAGCTTCTCAGTCAATAGTGAACAGTCTAACGACTGAATATTGTCTGTGCACATGTCTGTTGCTGACCTATATTGAACTCAAAGCAAAAAATATCTGTTTTAGTCCCTTGTTTATACACACGTCTGTATACAGTAAGCAATGTGGTAGTCAACAATGAGGTAAATGTGTCCTAGAAAGTTCTTGAATTTAGACTAGGCCTCTAATTTCAAAGCAACTCCAGTAAACTCTCACGCCATAAACATGTGTCTCGTATCCCTTTGAGGAAAGCATGTGGGACGTACAGCTTCATCTCAGGAGTTTATGGCTATTTAAAACAAATTTCTTGAACAGGCGATAGACAAGGTTTATACACAAACTGTTGTGATGCAATGCAATACTTGCATCACAAACATTATTAAACATTAGCAAATCAAATGCGGTTAAGGCCAATAAAGCGAGTGGTCTGACAGTTGTTTAAATTTTATTTTTATCAAAGGAATGTGCAAATGTGATTAGCTATTAACCAGAAATAAATAGTTTTTGCTTATTTTAAATGGGAATTTTCACAACTTGGGGGCAGATAGCTGGTTACTATACATATTTGTTAGACCTTTACAAATACATGTTTAATATTTTTTAAAGAACGGCTTTAGACTGAACCAATACTTTAAGCAATCCACTCTGGCACCCCAATGGTGGAACAAGCTCCCTCACGACGCCAGGACAGCGGAGTCACTCACCACCTTCCGGAGACATTTGAAACCCCACCTCTTTAAGGAACACCTGGGATAGGATAAAGTAATCCTTCTACCCCCCCCCCCCCCCCCCCCCCCCCCCCCAAAAAAAAAAAAAAGTATAATTGTAAAGTGGTTATCCCACTGGCTATAGGGTGAATGCACCAATTTGTAGTCGCTCTGGATAAGAGCGTCTGCTAAATGACGTAAATGTGCCCTTGAGCAAGGCACTTAACCCTAATTGCTCCTGTAAGTCGCTCTGGATAAGAGCGTCTGCTAAATGACTAAAATGTAAAAATGTAAATGTAGAAATGAGTTAAAACATGTAGTATTCATAACATGACATAATATAATATGTACAGACAGATTTCTCTGCTAATTAACTTATTGCAATAGAGTGCATGGCAATATCAATAACCTGTGCTACTTAATATACAATGAGCTGACGACAATGAATGACGTCAAAGATTTATGATAACAATAAACTGTTCCAAAGAGTTAGGGAATATCATGCTGTGAAATCCTAACATACAGTGCATTCGGAAAGTATTCAGACCCCTCGACTTTTTTCACATTTTGTTACGATAGCGCATTATTCTAAAATTGATTAAATTATTGTTTTTCCTCATCAATCTACACACAATACCCCATATTGACAATGCGAAAACTAGTTTTTAGACATTTCTGCAACTGTATTACAAATAAAAACAGAAATATCTTATTTACATAAGTATTCAGACCCTTTGCTATGAGACTCAAAATTGAGCTCAGGTGCATCCTGTTTCCATTGATCGTCCTTGAGATGTTTCTACAACTTGATTGGAGTCCACCTGTGGTAAATTCAATTGATTGGACATGATTTGGAAAGGCACACACCTGTCTATATAAGGTCCCACAGTTGACAGTGCATGTCAGAGCAAAGAACCCGATGGTCACTCTTACAGAGCTCCAGAGTTCCTCTGTGGAGATGGGGGAACCTTCCAGAAGGACAACCATCTCTGCAATACTCCACTAATCAGGCCTTTATGGTAGAGTGGGCAGACGGAAGCCACTCCTCAGTAAAAGGCACATGACAGCCCGCTTGGAGTTTGCCAAAAGGCACCTAAAGGACTCTCAGACCATGAGAAACAAGATTCTCTGGTCTGATGAAACCAAGATTGAACTCCTTGGCCTGAATGCCAAGCGTCACAACTGGAGGAAACCTGGCACCATCCCTACGGTGAAGCATGGTGGTTGCAGTATCATGTTGTGGAGATGTTTTTCAGTGGCAGGGACTGGGAGACTAGTCTGGATCGAGGCAGAGATGAAAGGAGCTAAGTACAGAGAGATCCTTGATGAAAACCTGCTCCAGAGTGCTCAGGACCTCAGACTGGGGCGAAGGTTCACCTTTCAACAGGACAACGACCCTAAGCACACAGCCAAGACAACACAGGAGTGACTTTGTTACAAGTCTCTGAATGTCCTTGAGTGGCCCAGCCAGAGCCCGGACTTGAACCCGATCGAACATCTCTGGAGAGACCTGAAAATAGCTGTGCAGCAACGCTCCCCATCCAACCTGACAGAGCTTGACAGGATCTGCAGAGAAGAATGGGATAAACTCCCCAAATATATGAGTGCCAAGCTTGTAGCGTCATTCCCAAGAAGACTCGAGGCTGTAATCGCTGCCAAAGGTGCTTCAACAAAGTACTGAGTAAAGGGTCTGAATACTTATGTAATTGTGATATTTCCGTTTTTTTATTTGTAATACATTTGCAAATATTTATAAAAAACAGTTTTTGCTTTGTCATTATGGGTTATTGTTTGTAGATTGATGACGGGGAAAAAATGATTGAATCCATTTTAGAATAGGGCTGTAACATAACAAAATGTGGAAAAAGTCAAGGGGTCTGAATACTTTCCGAATGTACTTTAAGTGTTGAGAGAGATGGAAAGTTCCATGTTGAAATGGAGGGATAACTTTTAGCCATTGGACCTCAAGAACGTCACCATGGCGAGGGCTAGAATTCCTTACATTTTATTGCGGAAACAAAAATAGCACACATAAATCTCTGCTGACAAAAACAAAGCGATCCAAGTCGTAACGCTGCTGGTTTGCTTAATGACCAAACACCCTCTTTCATATAAAAGCTATTCTTGTTATACGATACAGGCTGGCTTCACACACCCACTCTGGGGGATGATTTCTGTAAAGTTACGTAGCTGTAGGGGTGGAGTAGAGCGGAGTTCCCTGTCTCTCTCCACTCACAAATTACATCCAGGTTTGATTCAGGGGCTGTTTGCTTTCAGCTTTAAATAAATCGGCATAATATATAGTAACCACCCCCCCACCACCCCCAAAATCTCTCCAAAGCAGACAGAGGACACACTGTACTGGCAGCTTTTACCCTCGTTAATAGGTCTCTCGCTCTATTTATCAGAGATAGCTAAGAGGGAGAGCGGAGCGAGAGAGATAATATAAATGAGAGAGATAGCAGAAGATATATATAATACTCTCTCTATCTATCTCTCTATCTCTCTTCTCTATCTCTCTCTACTCCTCTATCTCTCTCTCTTCTTCTCTCTCTCTCTATCTCTCTCTCTCTTCTCTCTCTCTCTCTAGCAGGAGGAGTGTCACCCCCTTCCCTGTATGGGGAAGTCTTCATAGGGTGTTCAAATACACACAAAAGAATCCCTGCTGACAGCACTCCTAAAAACGTACCCTACACACAAACAAACACACGTTTGGGAATGGCTAAGCACTAAGACAGAAGCATAGAGGTATGAGAAGCATGGACTTACTACTTCTGTAGGTCGGAGGGTGTTTCCAGGGGGCTGAAAGAGGGGGCACTCTGCAACAGACCAAACAAAGAAGTCATTGATAAATCCACAGGAAGGTCTCTTCCAGCTAGAACAGAAGCAGGAGCATTAGCTGTCGTGAGGTTCTCTTCTCTCGCTCTCCTGTGTCTGTCTGTAGTGTCTCCAAAGCCTGCGATTCTTAGCTCTGCTGGACGAAGCTTTTACATGGAGGAGCAAGCGTGTGTTTTGGCCGGCATGCAAGTTGGAGAACAAGCGGCAGTGAGGAGGGGTGCAGGGGGGTGGGCGTGCATCGGTCAGGGGTGGGGGCCCATGCGTGGGGGGGGGCTCTCACTAGGCTCAGCCAATAGGGTGGTGTCTCTCACAGAGGGCCTCTCTTTTGTTTGGTATTGAGTCACTCTCATTACCACTGGACCAGACCAGGGGACAATTAACCAGCTGGTGGTGCAAGCAGGCCAAATTACACACACGTGCGCGCACACATGCACACACATACACACAGAAACACACACACACACACACAAATATCGTCACAGTATAATGCAAATAACAACAACGCCTGAATACAATAAAAGCAATGAGAAACATTTACAATAACACAGAAATAAAGTAAAACTGACACAATGACATATAGTATAAGCACAAGCAGACATACATAAACAAACAAGGAAAGGGTGAGTGAATACGTTTGTTTATAGGACTGTGCCGTGCGAGCTAAAAACACACGTTATCTTATTTGTTGTTATTCTGGGGAGGTTACTAACCCCAAAACACAGGGAGAGCCATTCGCTGGTGGGGTAGCACCCGCTAGCATTTTGAATGGTTTAGAGCTCGCTAATTTTAGCCCACTGTTTCTGTTGCTTTTCTCTATGCGGACGTCACAGAGTGTAAAAATAACAGACATGACATGAACATGAATAAAAGCACAAGTGTTGTTTGCAAATAAGATTGCACAATCCCAAGCGCCAGCCTGGCCCTTCTCGTAGCGCCACACTCCCCCGCTCACCTCTCCCCCAACCACACGTCTTCACCCCCGGCCCATCTCAAACAGATGTCCAGACCAGTAGCATACTGCACAGGCTTATTTCCCACAACATGCCTTCCCTCTGGTTGCCAGGGGAGGAGGATCATTAATAACCTTTCAAAATGAATGGCTATCTTTATAAGACTAGCATTCAGCCTGGCAGGTCTATAGACTCATCTATTTATAAAGCCAAATGTTCCACGGGCACTTTACCCCCTCTTCGAGAACATGCCACTGCCACTGAATTTTCTGTCTTTTCACTCTATTGTCTTTATATCCCTCTCTGTCTGACGGAACTGGGTTCAAACACTATTGGAAATCATTTACAATATTTTAGCTGGGCTTGATTGAGCTTGCCTGGCGCAATGGAGCCAATATAATCGTTGCAAAACGGCAAACCCCACCCATCTGTCACTCCAAGCAGGCTAAAGTAAACGCTCAAATTGAACCCAGGTCTGCTGACTGATCTCCCAGTCCCTCTCAACACGGGATGAAATGAATGGTTTCTCCTGCTACTTGTGGGTAATTGAGCTGACACTACACTGCTCTGCTGGAAAATAAACAGGAAATAGGGGTGAGAGGCTTATCTGAACTAAAAGAGGTGGATCTCAATCTGATTATTTACAAGAGATTTACAAGCCTGGGGATTCCCAGCAATCTACGTTATATGTATAGATATGTATATGTATAGCTATGTATATGTATAGATATGTATATGTATAGATACCAGTGGAGGCTCCTCAGAGGAGCAAGAGGAAGACCATCCTCCTCAGTGAATTTCAGAAAAATGTAAATACTGAAACATTAAAGTGGCAATATGTAACTTTTTGGGTGACCCGACCAAATTTACATAGAAATGTGAGTTACAGATCTATAATTCTATGTGAAAGCAAGTCTAAGAAGCGGTAGATCTGTTCAATGTGTGCTATTTCTATGCTTCCCGTTCTTAAGTTTTGTTTTTGGGTCTTTTACTTTTGGTTTTACACCAGCTTCAAACAGCTGAAACAACAATATTTTTGGTTATGGGAAATATATTTCACAGCGGTTTAGATTGTACAATGATTCTCTACCCTACACTAGCTTATTTTGTCACATAAACTGAAATTAGGCGAACTATTAGAGTTTTAGCAACCAGGAAATGGCGGAGCGATTTCAGCATAGACTACTTTAAAAAGTTATCCTTTTTAGATAAAACTATACTAAATATATTCATGTAACCAAATAATTGATTAAAACACACTGTTTTGCAATTAAAGTCTACAGTAGCCTCAAACAGCACTCTGTGGGGTAGCACCATGGTGTAGCCTGAGGACAGCTAGTTTCCGTACTCCTCTGGGTACATTGACTTCAATACAAAACCTAGGAGGCTCATGGTTCTCACCCACTTCCATAGACTTACACAGTAATTATGACAACTTCCGGAGGACGTCCTCCAACCTATCAGAGCTCTTGCTGCATGAACTGACATGTTGTCCACCCAATCAAAGGATCAGATAATTAATCTAGTACTGAATGCATAAGCTACAGCTAGCTAGCTAGCACTGCAATGCATACAATGTAGTGAGTAGTTGACTCAAAGAGAGAGAAAGACAATAGTTGAACAGTTTTAAACAAATTAATTTCTTCAAAAATGAAGGAGAACCAAGAGAGAGAGAGGGAGAGAGAGAGAGAGAGCTATATTTCACTTTCTCTTTCACTCACTTAGCTAGCGAATACAGCTAGCTAGTCTAGCCTACTCAAACACCCAGCTCAAACAGAGAGAGATGCCATATTAGCTAGCTGGCTATAGCTATCCAACACTGGAACTTTTCCAAGTCAAGGTAAGCTTTTGGTTTTATTAATTTATTGCCACCGGGACCCGCCTGTGTAACTGCTAAAGTGCTTGCTGACTGTACACTGTACAGTATGATTGTAGCGGGTTTACTAATGCATTAGTTCTAGTAGCTATGTTGACTATGATGTTAGCTAATATGGTGATAATGATGTAGGCTGTGTGTAGAGGTTATGATATGAAGGTTTGGCTTTGAAAGGTTTTCTTCCCTGGTCACAGACAGCTGATGTGTTGCACACTGAAGTCCACAAGCGAAGAGAAAAGGTGAGAGGAGGAGAGCGCATAGATGCGAGAAGGAATTAACGAGCAAAGTGATCATGCTGTTTGTATGTGGCTGCTATGTAAGTGAACTGTGTTTGTGTGTGATCAGGGGTATATTCATTCTGCCGATTCTGTTTTAAAACTTTTCTTAAATGGAAGCAAACGGAACGAAGCGGGAATAAACATAGCTGAATTTGTCCAATAGAAACTCTCGTTTGCAACTGTTGGACTAATGAATACACCCTAGATCAGCTAGATGCAGGCAAAAGTGTGCAAGGCAGTATTGAATGTGTCACTGTCTGTCACCTTGATTACAAAATGTTTTATCTTTCATTCATAGGCTAGATTGTAGCAACCTCATGATGGGTATAGGGAAAATTAGAGTATCATGTAGTAGCCTAAACTTATCAATGTTACATTGAGATGGGTTAATGGAATATGAATGACAGTCATCCAATATGCTGTAATAGAAATAAGGCCATGATCATTAAAAATATAATCATCCTCCCTCATCTTAAACGGCACCGAACGCCACGGATAGATACCGTATAGTCTATGGCAGGTGATATAACAATAAAAAGTTGAACAGAAACAAAGGTTCACACATATGTTGGGGGCCAAATATGATTAAAACCTTCAATGTGAAACATTCCATATAAAGTGGAGTACAAAATAATATCATAAAAGATGGAAAGTTCATATGCATGAACAATTGTCCCTAGCATGCCAAGATCCCTGAAGTCAAACAATGATTTAAGACAGATATTGCAGACATCTGAAGTCTCTTCGTGTAATGTGTGGTTTCAATGGAAATTAAGGGACACAACATTTTAGAAGCTGTTTACCGATCTAGGCGGATGAAGGTACCGTGAACTCCTTTCCCTTGGCGCATCAGTGGAACACTGTTTTAACATTGTTTGACTCAAAGAAATATACTACTTTGCTGGAGGGGGATATATATAGGCCAACATTGCAGGTTGGGGTGCTATGGGCTTTGTTTATTCACATTCAAAAATAGGAATCATGAGTGTATCACTATGTAATGGGAGCCTTCCTTCGAAAAGTGAATCCTCAAGTCTTATAAAAACACTGGCTCCCCTAGGATGTTGTTATAGCTGTATCCTTATTCCCTCCGCATAAAATGCTTAGAGATAAAGGTTCATTATAAACCGGGTGGTTCGAACCCTGAATGCTGATTGGCTGAAAGCCGTATACCATGGGTATGACAAAACATTTATTTTTACTGTTCTAATTACGTTGGTAACCAGTTTATAATAGTAATAAGCCACCTCAGGGGTTTGTGGTATATGGCCAATATACCACGGCTAACATCTGTATCCAGCCACTCCGCGTTACGTTGAGACTAAGAACAACCCTTAGCCGTGGTATATTGGCCATATACCACACCCCCTCGTGCCTAATTGCTTAAGTATATAACAGAGGTTATATATGACAACACAATGAGTTGATGGGATTATGGGTTACTTCCGGTCAAACATTAAGGTTGTGATGGAGGTTCATAATGGCTACATCCCAAATGGCACTCTATTCCCTTTATAGTGCACTACTTTTCACCTGGGCCTATAGGGCTCAGGTCCAAAATAGTGCACTGTATGGGGAATAGGGTGCCATTTGGGACGCACTCCAATATCAGTCAGGGTATGACTCAGTACAGAGACTGTGGTCAGAGTCAGATACTTTATTAGTGGTCCCACATGCATCTGCCCCCTCAGTGACAGCGTACGCTAGACAGACTAGTCACTGACGGAGTCGCTCAGTCGGAACACAGAAGGCCAAAATGTTCTTCCTAACCGTAGATACGTATGGCATTTTGGCTTCCGTATCGCCTTGTATATCCATGGAGCTGTGATTGAACGTGACTGTGATCATACGAATGTCCAGACCTCTGACTGTGAGCTCATGCAGTCGTGATCTTTGAGATGTATTAATGGTTGATGTGATTAAACAATAATATCATTGCATCTATCTGGTTATTAGTGATTGGGGGAAAAATCGATACAGATACATATCGGGATAATATTTTAGACTATATATTGTGTCGTTTTGACAATATTTTAATATTATTTTTGCGCTATTTTGCTGTACTTGCACCAAAATTCCAGTATTATTCCTTCATAGCTTGTTCTCCATCTTCT